CCCGTGCTCTACCAGTTGGTGCCAAACGTTGCCAAAAAGTTCCCGCTTGATTCTTTCTTTCTTTCTATGTGTTGCTGTTATTTTTTCTTTTTGGAGCAATTTTCATCTCTCATTTTTGACTTGAGGATGCAGGAGAGCTTGCCATTACGTGCTGTAGTCTTTCTGGTGCCCTTACAGAAGTTTCTAAACTCTGTCCACCCATCCATCAGCAGTAAATTCACTTGCTCCTTATCATGTTCGTCACTTACTGATCCAGTGATGTCCTTCTGTGTGTGTGTATCTATATATAAACCCAGAGCAAGCCAGCAAATTTTCATTAACTTTTTTTCCAGTTATGGCAGTGGATGACCTCCATATTTTACCCCATCTCCACATCTTTTGGTTACACAATTTATCAGCCAGAAGGGTGCAATAGACTTCTCAGTTACTCATCTTTCTTCCTATGACCCCTGAAGATATTCTCAGGGTGCAGACCCCTGTACAGGGAATTGTCCTTTACTTAATTTCTACTCCCTGGGTGCTTCTTGCAGAATGTTTGGGGTCCCATGGGACCTGTGGGATGTAGGGGAAGAACCTGTGATGGTCATGCTGGGGTGTTGTGGCCATGAGTGGGCACCACTTGGGTTCACCCACCTCTAAGAGCCCATCCTGGAGGTTGTTTCTGAAGGCCAGAGCTTTGCAGCATCCTGGCTTCGTGGTCTTGTCCTTATTAAAACCTGTGACTCTCAGCCTGTGGAAGATGCTCATTAAAATGTCCACCTTGCAATGGGTGGAGTGACAGGGACAGGAGGTTGCACTGAGGATCATGCTGTGAGTTTGGGGTTGGACTTGGTGCCCTTTCTGCTGGGAGGGTCAGACATTTCTTCCAGTGGCAGTGCCTTGCTTTTCTGCTTGGCCTGGCTTTGCTTTCAGGAGTTGAGTAGTGACTAGGGTGGCTGTAAACCAGAGAGGTGGTGGGGTCTTCCTCCTTGGAGATTCTCAAAAGCTGTCTGGGCAGTGGCTCTAGGTGGCCCTGCTTGATCAGGGGACTGGACCACAGAGGACCTCCAGTGGCCTGGGCTCCAACTGTGTGTCCTCCAAGGGAAAGGTGCAGGAGCACCTGTTAGAAACTTGCTTGGCCCATGGAATCATGCTCACAGCGTGCTGAGCCAAGCCACGTGTTCCCAAGGTAGCTTTAGGAGGTCAGTGTGGGATCACCTTCACTGGAGCTCGTGCCATGCTCAGAGGGAGGGAGGGGAGAGGTGTGCTTGGCTTGGGCAGGGAGCCCTTGGCAAAGCAAGCTGCATGGAAGTCTTTTACCTCCTAGAAATAGCAAATAAACGCTGAGAATCAAACCTCCCCTGTGAGGGTTTCTTTTTAAATCATATTCAAATGACAATTTAATGTGGAAACATGTTTCCTGATCTCAAGGTGAATAGTTTAACTCTACGGGATAAATATTTAAGAGTAGTGTATCTCTTTCCAGTAAAAACACTCTGGGCAGAGACTTCCTTTTTGGTAGCAAAATGAGGCTGTTACTTTATGTGCCTTTGACCCAGTTCCAAAAAAATACTTAAAGCAGGGAAGCTGGCAGCTCCTGCCATGGGAAGCAGCCAGGTGGAAGGGGCCAAGCTGTGAAAGGTGAGGCTGAAGTGAGGGGTGAGGGCTGTAGGGGTGATGGACCCAACCCACCAGTTATCTTCTCACTCTCCAGCAGCTGCCAACATCACACGCTGCAGTGGGAGCTGCAAATGGCCTGTAAAATTAATTGCCAGTTAGAATCACCTAATTATCAAGCTTGTGATTATTAATTGAAGGCACATCTGGGTTGGAGGTTGTGCACAGCTCCTCTGCCTCGCTACAGCTCTGCCATGCAATTGCTGAAGGCTTTGTCAGACAAGTGTACAGGGGTCTCTAGGCCCCTGGAAAATGGCTGATGTTCGTGTCCTCTCTTGGTCTCCTGGAGTTTGAGGGGCAGTTTATGAGCAGCCTGCTTTGGGCCAAGGAGTACTGAGATAGCCAGAGGAGGGCCATGAAGATCATCCAAGGGCTGGAGCACCTTTCCTGTGGAAACAGACTGAGAGAGTTTGGATTATTCAGCCTGGAGAAGAGAAGGCTCCAGGGAGACCTTAGAGCACCTCCCAGTGCCTGAAGCGGCTACAGGAAAGCTGGGGAGGGGGTTTTACAAGGGCATGGAGTGATGGAACAAGGAGGGATGATTTCAAACTGAAAGATTTACATTGGATATTAGAAAGAAACTTCTTACTGTGAGGGTGCTGAGAGCCTGGCCCAGGTTGCCCAGAGAAGCTGTGGCTGCCCCATCCCTGGCAGTGTTGAAGGGCAGGTTGGATGGGGCTTGGAGCAACCTGGTCTGGTGGGAGGTGTCCCTGCCAATGCAGGGGGGTTGGGCTAGATGATTTTGAAGGTCCCTGCCAAGCGAAACCAGTCTGTTACCAGTAAGCATAAGCAAAGGGCTGGAGGTGGGTGCAGGAATCCCCGTGCACACCATGTAAGGACCCGACTCTTCCCAGTGAAGTCGCTGTTACAGCTCAGATGAACAGTCATTAGTCCCTGTTGGATTATGAGGATTTTCGTACTCTCTGGGTGCCACGTAGTGTTTATTTAAACACCTCTACCAAGCATCCTGCAAGATGTCATTAGGTAGGTGTTGCTGAATGGTGCAGGGCTGTGATGACTGAACATGTCAGAGCTGAGGCACAAGGAAATGTGCTGTGTGGGGCTCAGAAGCATTTCTGCACCTTCTTTGGATGTGTTTGCACATTGTCACGTACCTGCACCTAATAAGATCTTCTGCTTTATCCTTTCTTACTCCCACTTCGGCTTCAGCTCAGTTTGGATTCCTTTTTTCTTGGTTAATAAATCTTCACCTTTGCACAAGTTGTATTTTTAGGGCATGGGTATTTTGAAAGTTTCAATAAATATTTTTCTAAGGACCTGAGTACAGATGTGCATGGCTGGTGCTTTCGGGCCTGAATCCCAGATTCAGGTGGCAGGGAAGCAGGGTCACAGTGGAAGCACTTTCTTGTGCTCAGTCAAACCCTCACCTTGGAGGTAAATACTCATCAGGAGACCTTTTTCCTCTCCCACATTCCCAGGTGTATTTTTCCAAGGAGCTGAATTTCAGATGGGTCCCTGTATCATCCTTTAGACGTGAAGAATTGGGGCTGAAGCAGAGCTTGGGTGTCCGACCAGTTTGTAGCCTGAGGAGACACAATGGAAAAGGACATAGGGTGCAATTTTGGTTTTGAGGCATGGGAAGATGATGGGACTTGCCCAAGACTGGGGAGTCCCTAAGCCAGATTCTCCTCCCTGCATGCAGGAGGAGGAGAGACATCTCAGTCTGGGCTCAGGCTTTCTCAGTCCTCATTTTCTTCCAAGTCTCTCCTAACAGCAACACGTTTATTTGTTGTAAGGGTGTCTTGCAGGTCTGTTTCCAGAGCCCCACCAACATCAGCTCTGTACAGCACAGTGGTTTGAAGAGTCAGTTGATACGGGGCCAAAAAGTCAAGGAAGAGGCAAAGCTTCTCTGTGCACATGTAATGGAAAAAGCTCCACGACACCTTTCCTTTTGAGGAGTAATTTCATCGAGAAGTGAAATCAATACCTGAAGTGGATGTATAAGCTTTTCCAAGATGTCCAGGACTGCCAGCAGCCCTCTGTCACTGCCTGTTGTGCTGGCCTTTGGGTTTGGGTTACAGGAGAGCTGAAAGCTCCCTTTGGTGGCTACTGGGTGCAATATGAGCTTTAATTAGATCATCTGTATTTCGTTGTGGCCTATAGGCTTGCTCATGCAGAGACCCATCTTTCCCCATAAACATCTTGCTCAGCCTTCACCAAATGGGGTTTTTACTCTTGATTGGGTTACCAGGGGCTTCCAGCTTTAGTTGTTACATGTTAGTATTCAGGCAGGGAAACTTAATGAGTCTCCATGTGGTATCAGGGGGAGGGGGGGGGGTGTTGCCTTTTTTAGTTGCTGAAATTAAGTGTAATTTTTAATGTGGATCCTCTTAATTAAATCCACTGGCTGGGTGGGATGAGTTGGCTGGAGGCCATGGCAGTGCTTTCGTGTGACCTTCTGCAGCATCTCCAGCACTCCCACTGCCCCACCAACACCCCTCCAGCACTAGGATTGTCATCAGTGGTGGGGTGATGTTAAGAGACATCCATGGTTGTAAGATCAATGCTGGCTTTAGCAACGAGCCTCCCAGCCCTGCCTGAATGTCTTATTTAGTTCTCTGATAAGAGCTTTGACCTACATCTAGCACCAGGAAGCAACGAAGCTTTGATAATACTCGGGCAGCCTGGTGGAGGGCACAGTGGTAACTGAGTGTCCAAGTTGAAAATGGATCTGTCTGTTAAAATAACATCAGATCAACCAATAAAGCTTTCAGTCAGTAAACAGCTTTATCTCTGCCTGGCAATACGTAGTCCAGTTTTGGTGGAGAGGTTGTATCTCTCTATGAACTGTAGGTGTTAGGAAAAGAGCTTTCTATTTTTAGTTAGAGGGAAAACAAACCAGAAGCCAAAAAAACCCCTGCAGTTTTTGATGAAATGAAAGTATCAGTGATGGAAAGGGGCTGAGTCACTCAGGGTGCAACTGTATGTGTCTTAGATGTATGTGTTCTATCATCTGGAGCTCTCAGTCCTCAGTGGGAGCCTCTCTTGTGGGCAGCTGTAATGGCTTCATGGATCTCCTTTCTAAAACACTTGCTGCCTTTGAAAGCCATGAAGGCAATGTCCAGAGGAACAAGGCAGGGAGGTTTGCAGCCCCATCCTGCTGGCAGCTGCCCGTAGCCCAGGAGTCAGGGGAAGGTCAGCAAGAGCAGGATGAGAATTCACATCATGGCCCTGACAAATCGATAGTCACGGGGCGATGCTGCTGGGCCACAGCTGTGCTGTGCTGTGGCCCCACATCGATTCATGCTGCTTGGCTGAGGGGTTGTGTCTGTGCCATCACCATTCATGTACTCATGATTCGTGTGTTTTTTTCCCCTTTCCAGGATGAACTTGACCTCACGGACAAGCACAGAGAGGCCATGTTTGCGCTGCCGGCAGAGAAGAAGTGGCAGATCTACTGCAGCAAGAAGAAAGTAAGAGACCCATCCACACTGTGGTTGCCTTCTGTGCAGGGTGGGGAGAAGATGTGGAGAGGGACACAGCTCTCTTGGGATGCCAAGTGGTAGTGGGGCTGTCATAGAAATGCATCTGTTCTCTGGGGAAGCTAGGGCCACCAGGGAGGTGGGGATGTTTAGCTGAGAGAGTTGGGGTTGTTCAGCCTGGAAAAGAGAAGGCTCTGGGGAGACCTTATTGTGACCTTTCAATACTTAAAGCAGGCTTATAGGAAAGGTGGGGGCAGGCTTTTTAGCAGGGTCTTTTGTGACAGGACAGGGGGTCGTGGTTTTAAACTAAAAGAGGTTAGATTCAGACTAGATATAAGGAAGAAAGTTTTTACAGTGAGGTTGGTGAAACATTGGCACAGGTTGTCCAGAGAGGTGGTAGATGCCCCATCCCTGGAAACAGGGTTGCTCTGGTCTAGCTGAAGATGTCCCTGCTCGCTGCAGGGGGTTGGACTGGATGTGACCTTTAAAGGTCCCTTCCAACCCAAACTGTGCTGTGAGTCCATGATTCAGTTCCCAACCCCAGCCTGGCTGCAGGAGATGGCTCAGCAGTGCTGGCAGTCGCCTGGCCCCACTCGAAGGCTGCTCCTACTAATGCCTCTTTTTCCCTGCTGTAGCAATGGCACCAGATTTTCCAGCCACATTTCAGGCCAAGAGCAGGCTTACCTTGCTCATGTGGGATTAAGTTTTAAGCCTCTCATAAATACCCCTGAAATCCCTGTATTATTGTTAGACAGAGGCCGGCCGTGTCCGAGATTGAAATTGGAGGGGAGAAAAGATGTTAGCAAATTACAGGCCCTGGTCTGAATCAACAAGGAGAGGGGCAGGGGATGCTCACTCGTCACTGCCTGTTGGACAAGCCAAGCTGTGCTCTGGTGCATCTGGATAAGGGGAGACAACGGAGATTTAAATCAAGCAAAGCCATGTAATTATTACTGTGAGTGGAGATTACATGCTATCTAATCTCCTGAGGAAGGGCTTAGATGGGGCTGATGTTGCCCCTTTCCTGTTCCTGCACCCCTTTGAGCTCACAGGTTTTTAAATACTGTGCTGGGAAACTGCTCCCAGAGGATGTTGAAGGAAGGAGCCATGGAAGTGTTCTGTGGCATCCTCAAAGGAGGATGCCCATGTGGGGCTGGATCCTGGCTGGTTCTGCTCTGGTCGTTGTTCCTCTGGCTGCTCTCTGCTGCTCCTTCCCTGCTTGTGATGCTGGTGAGCATATGTGCCACTGCTTGCTCTCAGGGAGGTGTGCTGGTGGAGACAAATGCTTTTCTCCTGCTTTTTAATTAAAAAGAAGTGAGGCCATATCAATGGAGGCTCCAGCTGTGGAGGAAACAAGGAACCACATGGGCTGGAGATGGGTGGTCTCCATGCATGGCAGGCTCAGTCCTGCTCCTGTGTGATGAGGAGCAGCAGGCAGCAGGAACATCAGTGGCTATCCAGCAGCTCATGGTGAATCTTACTCATGTACCTGTGTTTTTATGAGGGCAACTCACCTACATCATAGCCTGGCATTGAGGAGAGGGACTGGACTTCCCCAGCTGAGAGCAATGGCTGTATTTTGGCCAGGCCAGTGGAGCTGGAGACAGGGCTCTTACCTCCCTGCCTGCCTGCAGGCTGAAGAGTGGTGGTTTGGGATGTCCAGGATGCCCCAGACCCTTTGGCCTGCCTGTGTTTGACAGCAGGTTGTTGCTTGAGATGTTGGTAACACCCAGTTTCACCTGGTGAGTTACCAAGGATTCAGAATCATCCCCTGAGCAGTTTTTACTCTTTCCTCTGCTGTCAGTTTTGCCTCCTGTTGGAAACAGTTGAGTCAGGCAACTTTGGTCAGACATTGAGTCTGAAAGCCCCTGTTTGGGGCATTCCCAATTTTTAGCATTTTCCCCATATTCCTGCT